TTTTCTTAATAATGTCAATTCTAGACAAAAATTTTATTGGCACTCTAAGTAAAATTAAAAAAATTTTAAAATAAATTATTATATTTATTTTCCAAAAAATAATTTTAAATTAAATTATTAATTTAAATTATTATTTATTGTTTCAGGCCACGCCGTCGTTCGGGCTCAAGTATAGTTGTGATCGATGGTGACGATTTAAAACCATGTTTACCGGACGACTACATCAGTAGTCAACATTATCGACAACATTCTGGTGATATTAAAGAGATTGATCAAGAAATGTTGACAATGCTTTCTGTCAATCAAGATAATGGTAAGTCTTGCATTTTTAATATATATGTATTTAAAGCAGATCGGCTGATAAGTTTGTAGAATAATAAATAACAACTTTTTAGTTAAAGTGGATTTTATGCATTAACGTAACCTCCTACAAGATTATATAAGATCATAATATTATCATTTCAGGGCTTTTCTGACCCTTTAATACCTCAATATGTTAGAACGATTAATTTTGCCTTTAAACTATGTTAGTTTCGGCGGTGATTTTTTCACAGGAGCCAAGTCTTTTTTCATAAAGCATATTTTTTTTTGAGATCTTCAAATAGGTAGTAATTCCTGGTGCCAAATCGTTCGTTGCGAAACACAATCCACGTATAATTTGTAAATTGAACCATGGTAACTTACGACTTTTGACAAAGTACATTGTTTTAGTAAAAGTGAACTTTTCTGTTCATTAGATGAAGCTGTTGTTTTGCGATTTCCTTCTTCAAGCGCACCAATGGGACTATATAGCGATCGCTATTGATATCCACTTTATATGTACTTTGTGAACAAAATTTCACGCGCAATGATCAGTCAGCTCACGAAATTTCTTTGAATCCATACTTTTGAAAATATAAAGAGTAGCGTCACTAAACTTCCTCTTCCTCTAGACTTCCTCTTTGCTTTTATTGGAGCGATGTTCCATAAGGTGGGTTCCCAGTTTAACGCATAACTATATATATCCATGAGGAACCAATCGCTGCACACATTAGTTCATTAAGCAGGGATGACTGCAGTTATCCAGAGTGGGGCTTGTGGTGGCAGTGTGTCAACTTTGAGAGAACAGTGATAAGGAGTATGCTGGTAGTTATCAAATTAAATGCAAGCAGGCCTTCTGATTTGTATGTTTACTCTTTCCACTCTCCTTACTACAACAACTGTAATTATCAGTTATCTTGTAAACATCTTGAAATTTTAAAAGATATCATTTGATATGGCAACTACTTCTTAAAATTTACATGGATTTAAGTGGGGCTTGTGGTGGCAGTGTTTCAACTTTGGGAGAACAGTGATAAGGAGTATGCTGGTAGTTATCAAATTAAATGCTAGCAGGCCTTCTGATTTGTAAGTTTACTCCTTCCACTCTCTTTACTACAACAACTGTAACTATATCAGTTATCTTGTAAACATCTTGAAATTTTGACAGATATCATTTGATATGGCAACTACTTCTTAAAATTTACATGGATTTAATAGAAGCTCTTTCAGTATAATATCTCAAGGACTTATCAGACAATTTGTTATGTATTTATATATATATTTATATAATATAATATAATATGCAATTTTACTATATTTAAATTATTTATAGGTCCACATCGTGAGATGGCTGTCGATTGTCCAGATACTTTTATCGCACGTAATAAGACACCACCACGTTATCCACCACCCCGTCCACCGCAGGTAAATATTGTTAAATCTAGCATAACTAAAACAACACACACCTTCAATACAAAAACAAAAACAAACACATTACCAACAAAACCATCATCCCATGATACCATCATAATCGATAACATTAAATCCCACATTATCAAAACCAATCCAAGTACCAATGCATTAACCAATAACACAATGTCCAAATGCACTACTCAACTCATCACAAACACACACACCAATACATATCCAAAATGTGCACAAACTAAAAACGGTAAAGGTAAAGGTAATGGTAATATATTAATTGATGCATATCATTCTAAACATGATCCACAACATAATCAACAACAACAACAACAACCCACACATCATCCACACGAACAAACAACATGTGATTTACATTTAAAAACAACAACAAATAAATTGTTTTCAACATCGTCTTCGTCTTCGGCATCGGCATCGTCATCTCCAACATCATCATCGTTATCATCATCATCATCACCATCATCAACATTACTTACACCAAAACATATAACAACAACAAATGAAATTGGTCTTCTTAATGATACAAATGAACAATTGCAACAACAAAATCTATACAATGAACAACTGCAATATAAATTGGATCAAATCGAAAATTATGAAAATAACTTGCAAACGGAATCACAACAACAACTACAACAACCACAACAAATACAGCACCAGCAACAGTTACCATTTAAATCAGCAAGCACACATAATACACAACAACAAATACAATCGCAACAACAACAAATACAATCGCAACAACAACAACAACAGTTGGGCAAACAGCAAACACAAAGTGTAAACCAAAACTCCATAGCGACAATAACAACAACAGCAACAACAACTGCTACAAAAACAACAACCACATTAAACTCATTAGAGAAACTAAAATACATAACGAGTAATAATCCGAATGGCGGAAGCATAGCACATCCTTTGCATAGCGATGAACTAGAAATTATGGCCGATGGCCTGTATCGCAAGGGTTCATCGTCGCATTCCTCATCGTATGATGAAGCGTTAAGCAAAAAATCTTCGGAATCATTTGATTCCATATCATATAACAATTTGCAAAATAATAACAATAATAGCAATAATAGCAACAATAATATGTCGACTTCGACCACAACAACAACGTCGTCTGCCTCGCCCATAAAGCAGACAAACGGTGGCATTGGCGCTATGCAACGTGCCTGTGGCGATGGTTCACTCAATAGTACACGCAGTTCTAGCTCATCAACTGCAATTGCAGATGATGTTGTGGGCATAGCACCACCAGAATACACCGAATTACGTGAATTTTCCAATTCTAATAAAAATATTAGCTGCAATTTTCCAACACACGTTGTTAAGCACCGTGAATTGCCCGTGGATGTGCCGGATAGCTTCATTGAAATAATCAAAACAACTCCACGTTATCCGCCACCACCACATTTATCGTCTCTGTCATCGCAATTATCGAATTCCTCTGCCTCAACGGCAAATACCGCATTGAGCAATATCAATAGTTCGCTTGCTTCCACCAATAGAGTTAGTCATGTGACGCCTTCAGCTAGCGATAATTTTAATGGTATAACTAGTTTGGGTGCAGGTACTAACTCTGCAATGGGTTTGTTAACAACTACCTTCTCTAATTTGGAACAGTTTGCTCCAACATTACAACAACAACAACAACTCCAACAAACAACACCAAAACTAAAACAGTTGGGAAAACAGAAGAGTTCATTGTCGACCTCATCTTGTGGTTCTTTGGAGGATGTGCAAAAATGTGGTTTGCAATTTGCGAACACTGCAGTTAGGCAGCAAGCACAACCTCAAGTTCCAACAGCTACTATGGATGGAGACAACGTTTCTAAAATGTCCTCTCAAATTTTGACGACCAAACATAATAATGATGAGGTTGGTTTTCTTTTCGTTAATTTACTTTAAGTTGATTTCTTTAGATTCTTTGTTGTTAAATTTCCTTCCTTTCCTTTTGTAGAATATCTTTTATGATTTTTGTTTTTGTAGATATTTTGATTTCCTTGCAGTTTGTTTGTTTTTTTTTTTTTTACTAGTTATGTTAGTTGCTATTATTTTTTATTTAATCATCGTGCAGATTTCAAATGTGGAATAGGTTGTAATCGTTACCTTGTTAATATCAAAAATATATGTATTGTAAGTTTATATTAATAATAGAACGGGTTAACTATTTGTTCTACTAAAACAGGACTTTATTATTATTATTTTTATTTTATAATAGAATAGATGGCGTCCTTAAGTTTTACCTGCTTAGCGAAAGCATCTTATTTGATGTTTCATTCCTAGAGTTACAATTGAGAGTCCGTGTATGATCACATTCTACTAGGTTAAGCTAGGTTAAAATTTAATTATTTTACATTATTTATATAACTACTTATTATGGATGTACATAACTATAATATGGATTTCTAAAATAGTAAACACTCTGATATAAATTATCCTTACTCCAGATCTATCCACCATGACTACCATAGATGTTGCTCTTTGGTTTATGAGAAGTACCGAATAGCTTCAATGCCTTTCCTATTATTTAATTTTTTTTTAAAATTAATTTGTGGATCTACTATCATTCTTGATATTTCTTACGAAAATTGTACTAACGCCAAAGAGACTATTATAGATTTTGCTTTTTAGAACTCTTACAAGAGATGTCTTTATCTTTATCTCTTATATAACATTTAACAATTTGAATATATAGGTCTTCATATATATCAGAGTTTCATACCATGGAACTGTTATAAGAGATCACTTTATTTTTATCTCTTTGAACTTATAGGTCTTTATATATATCAGAGCTTCATACCATGGAACTCTTATTAATCTAGATTGAGGTTAAGGCAACTATGTGCAGAATTTTTAACATCGTAATGCTGTTAATGTTAACTTTAGAATTCTTTCCATTTGTCAAAATTGAGATTTTATTATCAATGACTGGTCACTTCATTCCAATTTAGTTGGAACAAATTGAAAAGGTTGAACACATTAATATGAAATTATCTCAGAAGTTTTAGTAGGTCAAGACTTCACTTATTCTAAGTAGCTTGTGCCTCAGTTCAATATTTTAAATATTGAAAATGTAAGAAGTAGACTAAATTAAGGCTCGTTCTTACCAAGATAAAGTGTAATAAATAAAGAAGTGATGGGTATACCTACACAATTTCCGCAGTGAAGTGTGACTCTTCAATAACTTCTAGAAATTCTTGCTTAAAAAGTAACTATAGCTGTATATTTTTTTTATTTATGTGAGAAATTATTTTTAATTTCTTATTAGTTAAATTTTATTTCTATTTTACTATTATTTCACTTTAATTAGTTCAATTTGTAAATTTTCATTTCGATTAGTTTGGTTCGTTTTCTGGGTAATAGCTTGTAGAATTGTCCTTTATAAATGTCGTACAATTTTCAACAATATCTTCCACTTAAAAGTTTTTAACCCAACAAAATTTTCCTACAACTTAACTAGCTTTCCATGTATTTCTCTTGGCTACTGTGTGTGTATGAAGTAAAATTCCAATTCCAAAATGAAGAAACTATTTTTATTCTATTAGTTTTACATTTCTTTTTTTTTTTTTCTTCAAATCGAATGTTTCAAAATGCATTCTAAGAATATTGTAAAGTTTTCCTTCGTCTACCTCCCATCACATATTACATATCGCCGCATCAGTGCATCACAACTAAATGCAGTATTTAATTAAATGAATCACAATCATGTATATATAAAATTGCATATACGCATGCACTCTTACATCCTTCTATATCCTTATACACTCTAGCTTACATACTGACACGCCTACTAATTTACTCGCATATTTGCATATACATACACGCATACACGCTCTGTTATTACAGAAACTTTTGACATATTCCACGAAACTTGGTTCTGTTAGCTGAAAGGCAATGCCGCTGTGCTAACATGAGAACTCGGAAGAAAATTTTAATTACAAAACGAAATTTTATGAAGTCTATCATCGGCTTTGTATGAGTTCCTTTGAGGAGGGCATGTTGAGCTGGGCATGTAGCAACAGCAGCGTCGACATCTTATGGAAAATTTAATTTTTCTTATTTTCCGTTGCTTGTCACTTTATGAAGTGTGAGAACATTTTAAATGTCATTTAAATGTCTGTCTGTCTGTGTAGGTGCACCCTACACACATGTTGATACAGCACATTTTCGTTGCTGTTTGAAGTTTGATATTTGAAGTTTTAACCGAAATTGTTGTCACTCATACGCCTACGAGCACAGGCGAGTTGAACTTTTGCTTAACACGAAAGTTGTGCTCTGATGTGATTGTGTTACATGTTTCAGGTGACAAAAGATGTTAAAATGATCTTTTGAGGTTACTTGAGATGTTAAGTTTGTTAGAATTTAAAGTAAAGGGTAAAATAATTAGTGATTTAATATGTTCATTTATTTTTTATATTAAATCATAAACTAAATTTATTTAAAGACCAAACATTCCGATTTGATCTGAGGTCAATTATTGCTTAGTCTAATGAAGAGATAAACAATAATCTAGTCAAGGCGCAAATAGGGGTTTTGAAGAAACCTCGCAGTTAATAGAGAGTAAAAGTGCTCAGGTGCACTGACTCAACTAGCCTCAACATAATTAATTATACAAGTTACTATGTGATTACAACTAGATTTATTGATAATTTTTAAAATGCAGTTATAAAAGCTAAAATGCTCTTAAAACAAGACACAACAGAGAAGATTTGACGTATACATATCGCCCACTGTCATTCCGGAATTCTCAATCCTCCAATCCTTAATCTTAGCGTACATCATATACTGTAATACTTATCATTGGTTTTTAAGAAAGATTGTTTCTTAAATTAATTTTTATTTCCATTTTTAAACATATTTAACTCTATATAAGGATTCTATTCTTTATAGATTATATAAATTAATATTATAATGCAACAAAAGAGCAACAAAAACGCTCATTTCATTCGAGACATATAAAATGGTGGCTCCCTTAACATAGTAATAGGGATTATACTAGAAATTAATAAAGATTAATTACTAGTAATAGTAATATTATTTTGAAAACATAATCTGTAGTAATATTTATTAATGAGGAAAACCGATGCAGTGTTGATCTCCTTAAACTTGATTTATGATATAACTTATGAACATTAAACAAGTATCAATAGCCACTCTTCATAGGGTGACATAGACTAATGCACTCTAAACATATGTTCTTTCTAATATTTCTTAACAAGGAAACAAAACATATGTGATGGTGGCTCTTTCAAAGTAGTAATAGAGATTGTACTAAAAATTAGTGTTAATTACCAGTAATATTTTTAGAAACATAATCTGAAATAATATTTATTAATGAGGAAAACCGATGCGGTGATGATCTCTTTAAAAATGATTTATGATATAACTTATCAGTATTGTATCAGTAGCCAGTCTAGATTGGCGGACATAGAGTGATGACCCTCTAAACATATGTTCTATATAATATTTTTTAATAAGGGAACCCCATGGAGTAATGGTTCTTCTTAAATATGATATATACAAGTTATGAGTCTGTGTATGTGCAGTAAGTCTTTACATATGCGGTGATGGTACACTAAATGTCTGACCTAAATAATAATAATTCTTAATAGAGACCATAGAGTAACAAATAAGATCGATTCATAGGGTACAAATGTGGCCGTGGCGCCTTTAACGTATGTTATGTTTCATAATAAATGAGACCCATGGAGTAATGGTATTTCTTAAATATGATTTACAAATGCAACTAGTCCTAGTATGTGAAATATGTGACAATCATCTCCAAAATGTGTGTCTAGAGTGAAAAAACCTTATGGGATAATGAACCTTTCCCCGTTAAATGTGCTTTATAAGGTTTTAGTATGCAAGTGTCATTCCCGACATAAAAGTTATGGTCTCTTTCTGTTGTGCGATAAATGACATATTTTGAGATACAGCACAGCCATTATTTTAGTACTTCATTTGAATTACTTTTTTATTATTTAAATTTTCAAATTCCATCGTTTCGGTTTTTTCCTTATTGTATACCGTTTAAGGTGTCTTTTTCGTTTTATCTATGAAATGCATGATAAAACGATCTTCAGATTTTATAAAATGTATATGTATTCCGACTCTTTGGGTGTTGCTATTGGGGAGAGCAGTTTATTGTCCATATACCCGATGATGTCAGGGAGTGGATATATATTGACAAGTGTTTAAATCTTTATATTATAAGGTTCACTAAAAAATTTCAATTAATTGTCTTTAAATAAAACAGTTAATTAAGTATAATATCTTTAATTATAATTAATATAATTTGATTTTTTAAAGTTAATTATGTTAAAAGAAAGCATTTTTTTAATAGAAACCATTGTTTTAGAAAGCTGTTTTGAATAGTACTGAATTACAACAACAACATTTTTATTATTTTTGGCTGAGCATTTTCAAGTTATTCAATTCAATTATTGGTAATATTTTAGGATTTATTTGTTTTATTTAATTATTCATAAATAATTTTTTGACACTGTAGGTACCAAAAATTGAACTCGTGCTCTGCCAAATTTAATTATATCATCTTTCTTTTTTATAGCTTATAGAACAATTATCTATATTCACTATAGCAATTGTTTGTTTTTTTTTTCAATTTTATTTATATCTCGACATTTTTTTATCTTTATCGAAAGATTTCAGTATACTTCTGACATAGGGGATTTCTTTTCAATCAAGCCACATCATTACTTCTGTGCTTCTGTTAAGTAGTGGCTGCCCGTCTTTCATTTGTTTATTTCTTCTAATGTGAATCCGTTTACAATATTTATGGGCGTCATCCGTTTTATGTAAGTGCAGTTGACAGGTCCTATTTTTTTTTTATATCCTGTGACAATTGCAACACACAAAGCAAACACGTAATTGCCTTCTGAGGTGTA